GGGATTTAAATCACGCTTGGTAATAGTTTAAAATTTGGGTTTATTTCAGTATAAAGTGTTGCCGACTCGCATCAAAGTAAAGCAAGAACTGACTTTGTCTTAGGGGCAGAATCAGCTACAGATGTTTGTGCTCACTCTGGATAGAGTGCTGAGCATTTACGTGGGAGCGTTAGCGCATACTGCCGCCCCCCTTGCTGCTCGATACGTAATAGTAGTACTAGTAGTAGCAGACGATGACGACGCTGTTACTGTGTAAAAATCTTAGTAGTGACATATATATTTTCTTGAGTCGAGCCAAATCCTTGCTGTTAAAATAAAGTCCATACAGTGTATATCTCCCCGATGCATCGACATTTTCTGATTCTTTCGTAGGTGTAAAGAATCATGCTAGGAGCAAGTCTTGTCTTAGAGAAATCTTTTCTTCAAGGAAGATTTCGTAGAAAAGGCTATTGGAAATGTTTGCAGTCAGCTTCCTATGCGTTGCTCGGAACAATTATTCAGTGCTTTTTATAAATGTTTATCTTGAACATAAAAGCAAATGCAAGGTCGTGCTTTGTTTGTTGTTTGTTGAGGATGGTCTCATACAGAACCGTTTGAAAGGTGTTCTTACTTTCATCTGCATCTCATGCGTCTAGCGCTACTTCAATATATAACAAGGGAAAACTTGGCGGAGCTGCTTTGGCTCCCACCTTAGAAAAAGAAACTGTTTCACTCTCCTCCACATCGGACAAGATCAAAAACAGAGCGGTTTTCGAAGAACTTTATAAATCTTCCTGCCACAAACTCAACTAAAGACAGAAAGTGCTACGACTTGCGCTTGGATGTAAAAGTCATCTGAGTTATTCGGTAGAAATTCAAACGCTGCCGACACCTTCAAGCACGAAAGGTATCTATCCTCGGTGTTCGTTCGTAAGTTTTGTGGAAATTGAAATTATCATTCTCGTTTTTCTTGTAAATACATTTGCATGCTTATAACTCTAGTTGTTGAACAAACAGCAAATTAACCGATATTTCAGAAACGAGAAACAGGTTTGGACATTTCACATTTCGAACTTCAGATCTGGAATCTCAAATCTGGATTCTCAGATCTGGGATCTCAGATCTGGAATCTCAAATCTCGAATCTCAGATCTCAAGTCTGGAATCTCAAATCTGGGATCTCAGATCTGGGATCTCAGATCACAAATCTGGAATCTTAAATCTGGAATCTCACATCTGGAATCCCAAATCTGGGATCTCAAATCTGGGAGCTCAGATCTGGAATCTCAAATCTGGAAACTGGAATCCCAAATCCGGAATGTCAGATCTGGAATCTCAGGTCTGGAATCTCAGATCTGGAATCTCAGATCTGGAATCTCAGATCTGGAATCTCAAAGCTCGAATCTCAGATCTGGAATCTCGAGTCTCGAGATATTTCAGATTTGAGGTCTCAGATTTAAGACATTCAAATTTGGGATATTCAGACTCGAGAAATTCAGACTTGAAAGATTCAGGCTTAAGATGTTCAGACTCGAGGTAGTCAGTAGATCCGGGATATTCAGACTTTGGAATTTGTTGAGACGTCAGCGCAGAGATTTCAGATCTGACGCCTCATGTCTCACTCTCAGACTTCAGTCAGATTTGGGATTGGGGGTGCAGCCGTCAAGCTTCGCGGCTTCTTTCGGGCTCCAAAGATTTCACACCTCGGCACCGCGAGCCTACCTTCGAACCAACCGCCCGGCGAAGCGGATTGGCTGTGGGCCCCCCAAACCGCCGCGGCGGGTTCTGGGCCTTCGGGCCTTCTTTCGCTCGCCTCGGTCGGGCTTTCGCGTCCGGCCTTCGGGCCTTCTTTCGGGTTAGTTTTCGAGCGCCTGCGGAACTTCTTTCCGGCTTCCCGGGCTGATGCGTTTGCTTGGGCCTAAACTTTCAGCCATCGCGCCTTCAATCTTTCGCGCCCTAATCTTGCGGCCCCGAGACCCCAGGGTCCCGGGCGCGCAAGTTAACGCCAGAAGAGCCTGAAAGCGGAAACGGGAAGCCCGAAAACGAAAGCCAAGCGGAGCCAGCAAGCCTGCCAAGCGGCCTGGCCGCGAGAGCCAGACTTGAAACCGGGACTCAAGTCCGAAAACGGAAACAAGACCCGAGAGCAACAACCAAGCTAGCCCGGGGGCGGCAGGAAGCCAGGCAAGGAAGCGAGGGCCAGGCGGGCACGGAAGCGAAATCGAAAGCCAGGCCCGAAAGCGCCAGCCGCGCCCGAAAGCGAAGGCCAAGCCCGAAAGCGAAGGGAGGCCAAGCCCGAAGGCGGAAGCCAAGCCCGACAGCGAAACCAGGGACCAAACCAAGCACGCCCGCCCGAACACGGGGGCCAAGTCCGAAAGCGAAGCAAGGCCAAGCCCGAAAGCGGAAGCCAACAAGCCCGAAAGCGAAAGCCGGGCCCGCAAGCGAAGGCAGAGCCCGCACGCGAAAGCCAAGCCCGGAAGCGGAGGGAGGCGAATGCCGAAAACGAAAGTCAGGGAGGCCCGAAAGCGAAGGCCCACCAAGGCAAGCCCGAAGGCGAAAGCCAGGCCCGGAAGCGTAGGTAGGGCCCGGGAGCGAAGCGAACAAAGCCAAGGCTTAAAGCGAAAGCCGCGCCCGAAAGCGGAGGCCAACCAAGCCCGACAGCGAAACAAAGCCAAGCCTGAAAGCGAAGGCCACAGTCAAGCGAGCCCGAAAGCAAGGAACCTAGCGGAAGCCCGGCCCGAAAGCAAAAGCTAGGAAAGCCCGGAGGCAAAAAGCCGAGCCCCCCTCCCCGAAAACGAAAGCCAAACTAGCCCGAAAGCAAAAAGCGCGGCCCCGCCCCCCCCCCCCGAAACAAAGCGAAAACCAGCCCCGCGAGCAATGGGGGCGCGGCCCGCTTCGCCGGCGCGCGTGGCGTTCGATTGCGCGGGCGGGTGTGTGGCAGCGGCCGGCGTGGCATTCCGGGATGCATGCGCCTCGCCGTCGCTTCCGGCCCCGTCGGCCCCTGCCAAAGCGGCCTGGCGGCCGCTCGGCAGTGTTCGCCCCAAAGGCCTTTGCCACCGCGGGGTCGCGGGGCCGGTCGGTGTACGCCGTGGCCGGCGGGTCAGCATCTCCGCGTAATGCGCGCGCAACTGCGGACGCCCCCCTTTCGCCACCGTCCTGCCCCTTCTTCCATTACCGCTCCGCCCTTTGCCTGGATATGTGGCGGCAGCCGTCGAGGCTCCGCTCGCCCGGGCGCGCCCCCGGCGATCTATCTATGTGGCGCTTTTCTTCGGCTAGTGCGGCACCTGCCTCCACGGCCCCCAAGCCTGCCGGGCGGGAAGGGGCTTCGGTGGCCGGACTTTCGGAAGCGCCCGCCGTCTTGGCTTCCACGCT